CCATCCTTATCTGTCCACCCCCACACCAAAGATGGTCACTGCCACAAGGCCCAGGGAGTCTCGGACGAGGTATGTTCCTACGCCCTGCAGTGGTCACTCTGGTCCAGCACGCTGGGTCTCCCCCCTGGACTGGGTGGTTGTGAGGGCCACACCCTGGTCCCCATCCCGAGTCACGTCCCAAAGGGGACACTTGAAGAGAAGCAGGCTGGGTGGGTGCTCACCCCCTGAGATGGTCACTTGCACCGCGCCTGAGACCCACACAGGCATCTACAGACATAAGTCCTTGCACGCAGTGATGGACATTCTCACCGAGGCCTGGGGAGAGCGTGGACAGGATGGGTCCTAGGGAGCTGTGAGGGTCACCCTCACAGGGCCGGAGACCTGCGGGGGCGCTGGCCACGGTGTCCTCCAGCACTGCGAAGGCCACTCGCTGGGTTGGAGGCCTGTAGAGGTGCCCGTGGCCAGTGTCCACTGAGGGACACAGATTTGCAGAGGCGCCGGCGGGCATGCGTCCTCGCGCGTCGTGGTCACCACCTTCCCCGCGCGTCCCCTGCAGGTCCGAGGCCGAGCGTCTGCTGTTCATGCGGGGCCTGGCGGAGATTTGGAGCGTCCACGGCGTGGGCGTGATGACCGCTTTCGACCTGTCCGCCTTCTCGGTCATCTGTGACCTCGGGGGTGAGTGTCTCCATCAAGTGGGCCCTGTCCACACTCTGCGTGGGCGCACCTCCTGCCTCCCCCTCAGTCCTTGCTAGCTGCCACTGTCCACTCTAAGGGGACTGGTCAGTGACCCTGCATCCACACCAGGACAGGAGCATGGGGCAGTCCGCTTCCTTCCATATGAACCCTAGTGTGCTCAGTCCATCGGGACGCCCAGGTGACACTCCAGCGTCTGTAAATCTCCCAGGTGGACACTGTCTACATTTCTTCCCTTGGAGAAGTGGGATTCGAACTGCTCACCTTCCGCAGCTTTGGAAATGGAAGGGGAGGCCTTTATCCTCTGACCTCGAGGGTCACCGGGGCTGAGGGCAGTGGGTTTGGTGTTTAGGAATCTTTGAGGAAGCGCATCGCCAGGTGTTTCTTCCGCAGAAAGTCCAAAGAGTCTCCCAGGACTAACCTCGTAAGTGGCGAGTGATTTAAGTTTAATCACTGCAAAACCAGGGTCATTTGCTGACCCATAGCGGCCGTATGGTCAGCAGCCGGCTCCCAGGGGCCAGACCTAAGGTCCTGCGCCGTCCGCGTGGCGGTGGTCAGCGTACAGAGAGGTCAGTGAGGTGCGTTTGCAGGCCTGGCTGAAAGGCTTGGAAAGGTTGCAGCGCGCACTTCTGCCCTCGGACACACGAGGGCGCGGGCGCTCCGCTTGGCAAATTGTGTGGGTTTTTTTAATTAAAAAAATTAAAAAATTATTTTAATTGTGATTTTAATGAAAGTTTACAGAAAAGTTAGATTTCCATTAATTCATTGTTGCACATTTTTATCCCCTCTCCCTCCAAACCCTCTTCCCCAGTTCACTTTTCTTTTTAGATATTCAATTGTTTTTTGGGTTTTTTTAAAATTTCAGCCTTTTGGGGATAATTTTGTGAATTTTTTCCCTTGATCATTTGTAGCTGACTGCCCCTTATAGGTGACTGACAGATAGTCAAAGGTGTAGTTTTTTTGTTTTGGAATTTTGTGGGGTTTGTATGTGTGTGTGTGTGTGTGTGTGTAATTAAAAATTAGACTTTGAACTTAAGTTGACAAAACCTTTTGAGTTTTTCTTTAATCTTTGAGTTTTTCTTTAAACATGGACATCACATCAATTGCAATAGATGATAGAACTATGTAAACAATAAGGATATAACAATACAAGGTATAATACAGAACATAAACATATATAATAGTAATAATACAGAACATTAATGTGTAATCAATAATAACACATCGATTAGAATACAAAACATATATAATAAATAATGTGACTCACATTGAATTTAACACTGAGAAATAATATAAATTAAAATAGCATACTATCAGTTACAAAATACAACATAAACATATAATAAATAATAACATAACATCAATTATCATGTTGTTGTTGTTGTTGATTGCCTTTGAGTCAAGCACGACTCATAGTGAACCTATGAACAAAAGGCCTGAAGCCTTTCTATAACTATCATCATTTATCAAAGTTGATACGGTTTCCAGAGGCATGTGGTTTAGGAAGTGGATGCCACGCCTGCTTCCAATAAGATAAATAACATACATAAATAAATTATAGTACATAAAAATATAATAAATATAATAACACCAGTAAATCATATAATAGCAATTATAATCCATAATATATTATAGAATAGAATAGAATAGAATATATATAATAAATAACACCATCACATAGCATTGACTATAATATGTACATAAATAGAAATAGAAATAACATAATAATAGTTACAAAACATAACATAAATATGTAATGAATAATAACATAACATCAACTATAATACATTCTTGAATATGTAATGATGTTGTTATGTGCCGTTGAGTTGCCTGCAACTCATAGCGACCCTATGTACAACAGCCCTAAACCCTGCTCTATCTTGTGCCAGTCTTATTGTCTCTGATACACCCATCCCGATTACCCCAGTCACTGAATCAATCTACCTCATAGAGGGCCTTCCTCTCCTGCGCTGTCCCTCCACCCTCCCAAGCATGATGTCCCTCTCCAAGGACTGGTCTCTCCTTGCAACATGTCCAAAGTATGTTAGACGGAGCCTCAAAATCCTTGCCTCCAAGGAGCCACCTGATCTAACCCTTGCTAGGATGAATCTGTGTGTTTTCTTGGCAGTCCACGGTACATTCAATACTCTTCTCCAGCACCACAGCTCAAAGGCATCAATTCGCCTTCTGTCCTCCCTAGTCATTGTCCAGCTCTCTGATGCATAACAAGTGATTGCAAAGACCATGGCCTGTATCAGGCGCACCTTAGTCTCCAGGGAGACATCATAGCTCCTCAGTACCTTGGAGCGGTCTCTGACAGCAGACTTTCCCAATGCAATTTGTCTTTTAATTTCCTGACTGCTGGTATCAAGAATGTTGATTGTAGAGCCAAGCAAACTAAAGCTGTCAACAATTTCAATCTCTTTAATCTATCATGATACTGCCAGTTGGCCCAGTATTGAGAATCTATGTACTTTTACGTATTTTTAAAATGTTTATTATTTTCTGCAGTCCCAGAGGTACTCAGTTCAAATCCACCAGATGCTCTGCTGGAAAAGGAGGGGCAATCTCCTCCTGTACCAGTCAGATCCGATTTGATGGTACATGCACACAAAATAATAAAATTTGGAAAAAAAAAGTTCATTATTTTAAATTTTAACTTTTAGTATTTAACATTTTAAAAATTTTAATAATTAGTTTAATTTACATTATATTTTGTTCATGTATCCTGGGGAGTCACATGAATAATAACATAAATCTATTTTATCTTAATCTATGAAATTTATTAAATCTACTTATTTATCCTTTTCAATCTATTAATTTTAAAATCTTTTATCTGATTGAAAGTCTCCAAATCTTGTTGGTTTTCATCCCATCATCCATAGACATGCTATTTTAGAACATTATTTACAGTTAATAAAATTAATGACAGTATCTAATCAATTCCTTATTGCTTTTTTCTTGACCTGATTTATCCATTTATTTTAAATATGTTTTTATCATTTATCCTTTTCAATCTATTAATTTTAGAATCTTTTATCCGATTGAAAGTCTCCAAATCTTACTGTTTTTCATCCAGTCATCCATAGACATGCTATTTTATACCATTATTTACAATTAATAAAATTAATGACAATATCTAATCAATTCCTTATTGCCTTTCTCTTGACCCGATTTATCCATTTATTTTAAATATGTTTTTATCTGCAGGCACGTTCATGTATGATTCTGCTTTTTCCATTCAGTGCTTCATACACGTCTTGTTTTATAACACTATGCGTAGTTGGTGGGAAGAGTGTTATTATGTGATGTCCAGTCCACGCTGACCCGTGAGTGACCCTCCAGAGGGTTTTCACAGCCTTTACCAGAAGAGATTGTCCATTTCTCTCCTGCAGTGTGGCCTCAGTTCTGAGGACCCCTGGATTCATGATTGATGGACACATGTCTCTCTGACCTGTCCACCTTCTCTGTCCATCCAGGAGCTTCTGGGGCTCTGGCCAGAGTGTGTGCGTCCCTGTACCCCGATTCCAGCGTCCTGGTGTTGGAGGTGCCTGAAGTGGTGCGAGCTGCCAGGTCGCTTTTTCTGTCCACTGTGGAGGCCCCGGTCAGTTTCAGAGAAGGTAGGCGTGTCCACTGGGCCCAGGGTGGTCAGGCGATGACCACTGCTGTCCCGAGTTCCCTGTACTTCCCTCAAACTCCAACTCACCGCCCTCATCTCCCTTCTGTGCCTCGCTTACGAGGGAATCCTTGCGCTCTGGTCTGAGGGCACTCAGAAGTGCTGCGAGGGAAAAGCCTGGCAACTTTCTTCTGAAATACCAGCCCCTGGGTCCCTCACGGACTCCAGTTCTCCTCTGACCTTCGTGGACTCCCTTCCTCTTACGGTAAGACTAGGGGGGACCGCCCCCACTAAGTCTTACTTCTCCAGGGATTTCAGCAGTGTGGATGTGTCTTCCCACTGTAAGCCTTCGTTCTGGATGTCCTCTGCCAGCAGGCCTGAATCCCAAGACTTGGGGAGGTGCGGGACAGGGAGGAGAGATTTGTTAAATGTAGATTTTTCCTGGAGCACGGAGGTTGTCGTCGGAGGGGCGAGTATTTGGAGAAGTAGAGTCAATGATTCTGTGGCTGTCCGTTTATGTTGATTGAGTTTCAGGAGGAATGTTATTTAGGAAGTGGATGCCACTCATGGGGTGTCTAGGAGTCGTGTTCTACTCAAAAGCAAACTACTACAACAACAAAATATCTATGTTTATGTTCCAATTTACCCCTTCATCTCCCATCCATTTATATATTCATCAGTTTAGTCAACCACCCAGTAATCTACTCAGTCATGCATGCATCTATCCACCCAGTCATTTGTCCAGACATCCATCTATTCACTTATCTACCCATTCACCATCTATCCATCCATCCATCCATTTGCCCAACCATCCATCCATCCATCCATCCATTTGCCCAACCATCCATCCATCCATTTCCCATTCATCCAACCATACATCCATCTACTCACCTATCTATGTACCCCCCAACCATCCATCCATCTATCCATCCATCCATCCATCCATCCATCCAACCATCCATTCATCTACTCATCTATCCACCCACCCACCATCCATCCATCCCATCCATTCATTGATGCATGCATCCATCCACCCATACATCCATCCATTC